CAAAGGAAACCTCATTGCCAAGAATATTCTCCCAGAAACATATGTTGTGATGTTCTTTCTATACATTCTCAGTTTACCTGGTTTGTGTGAAGGCATGATTATTTACAGCTGAGAGGACTAATAATTCTTCGGATAATCTCTCAGTGGGTCCTTGTTACCGCACAATCATTCTTCCTTGTTGATTCCCCAACAGAAAACATCTGCTGTAACAATCATCCCTTATTAATTTCCCAAGGCTATATATGCACATAGTGTCTGGGCCTTAGAATTCAGACATACTTTTTGTTGAAGATAAAGAGTCTAAAGAATAGTTAATATATAAATGAATCAAATATACAGAAAGAAAGAACTAATAAAGCATTAATATTTACTAACAGGTACTAACATTGGAGAACCAGGAACTCCTCCTAATAATAGAGCACCGCTCTTCTCCTTCCTTCCCCATATTCTTATGCCTCCATCTGTGGCCTGAGACAAGTTTGTTCTTCAGATACTTATCTATGAAATGGGGGTATTGACTTTGACTTCATGGTTTACTGTCATTACTGAGTTGATCTGGTTGAAAATCTTTGTTGGAACAGTTTTGTCGCTGATTGGCCAGCAGCTAAACATTTTCTGGGAGCATATTGATTTTGTCAGAATTGTAGACAGTAAATTAAGGGATTTGATAGGGTTGAAACGTTTAATTTTATCATTTTAACTTTTGGTAATTATAATAATCAAAATGGTAAAGTTGAAAAATGCTCTGATAAGATCAAAACAAATATTTCAAAATATTTCATGAACAACTCTGACATTTTGACTTTTTGGCTCAATTTGGCAATAAATGAAATTTCAAAATCGCAGAATTTCATGCGGGATGGAAATTCCTTTTTAATTTTTTTTTTTTGGCCAGTTGGATTCATCCCTGGTTTTACAGTGACACACTGGACCTGAGAGAAGGAGTTGTGGTGATGCAAATTACTTACAACCTCTACTGGGGTCTGCAGTCACCTGCTACATTCCAAGCATTGGGTGCTGCTAGCTCTGGAGGAGGGCATGGCCAAGATGTTCCAGAGCCACGGGCGGCTCTAGGCACCAGCTGGGAGGGCGGCCGTCAGGCGGCCTTTGGCAGCATGCCTGCAGGAGGTCCACCAGTCCCACGGTTTCAGCGGCAATTCAGCAGCGGGTACGGACCGCCCACAGGCGTGCCGCTGAAGGCCGCCTGACTGCAGTCCTTGGGGCGGCAAAAAACATAGAGCCGCCCCTGTCCAGAGATGTGCTAAATCTACACATGCCTAGACAGTCTCTGCTGAAGGGATTCCTAAAGGGCCTTGACTGCAATTTAAAATAACCTCTGAGGAAGTTGGTGTGCAAATGTTGCCTGAACTGAACCAGGTGTGAAGCACTCCCTGGACATGTGGTTGAAAGTCTCCATCTGCAAAATGAGGTTTTGTACAGTTTCATGTACAGTTGGTGTGGAACAGCATCACTGAAGTATTTCCTCTGGACACCATTCTAAAGGTATCTGGATAAGTGTCATCTGTTTGTTTCCTCTATGTGAGGGGATTGTTTTAAGAGAATTTTCCAGAAGATCCATCTCATTTGGAGTCAAGTATCAGGGGTTAGCCGTGTTAGTCTGTATCTACAAAAACAAGGAGTCTGGTGGCACCTTAAAGACTAACAGATTTATTTGGGCATAAGCTTTCGTGAGTAAAAACCTCACTTCTTCGGATGCATAGAGT